TTGATGTTACTCATAGCAAGTGCCCTGCGAGTATTCGTGGCAACATCACCACATGGGAGTACTATGAACTGCTTAGGGGGGTGTTCCATGAGCGATTTGTTAAGGATAGCTTGTGCCTTGAGTCTGAAATCTCGGATGAAGAAAGATTGGAACTGAAGACATGTAAAGGCTTGTGTTATGTAAGTGCATTCTTCTAGAAAACAAGGGCTGGAGATGCGAAGAGCTCTCAAGAAGCCAATGAGGACTCCTCTCTTAGTGCGGGTGTCTTGGTGTGAATAAAAGTGTATAAGATCGTCCTTGTTGGTAGGTTTTCTATACACTTTGAAGAGAAGTTTGTCACTGTCGGGAGATCTGCACAGTAGAACGTCGAGGAAAGGAAGTTTGCCACCATTTTCGAGTTCAAGTGTAAACTTTATTGATGGTTCAACTGCATTGATCTTGTTGAAAAGGGCCTGGATATTGAGACGTCTCGGATAGAAAACCAATACATCATCAACGTATCTTAGCCAGGTAACGGTGTTGGGAATGAGGGTGCTGAATTTCTCTGTCTCCAGGTTTTCCATGAAGAGGTTGGCAAGCACAGCACTGAGCGGGCTGCCCATTGCCATCCCAAAGCACTGTTTGTAACAGTTGTCCTGATACTTGAAGAAGTTGAAATTAACACAAAGTTCCACCAGACTGATGAAATCTAGAAGAGGTAAAGGGAGGTCGTGGTTTTCAGTGAGCCTCTGTCTCAGAATGTTGATTGCAGCGTCAGTAGGAACGTTGGTGAAGAGGGCTGTGACATCGAAGGAAGCCATGCTTTTGTTTTTGACATTCAGGTTGGAAATTCGGGAGAGAAGGTCACCTGAGTGTTTGAGGTGGGCTTGACTGATGGTGCCCAGAAGCGCTGAAAGGTATTTGGCAAGGTGGCCGGCTAGTCTGTGTGGTGCACTCCCTATGCCCGAAGTGATAGGCCGTAGTGGGATGCCAGGTTTGTGTGTCTTAGGAAGGCCATACAGGCGTGCTGGTTTCAGTTGACCTGGTAAAAGTTTAAGTAGTTTTTTGCCTTGTTCTGATTTTCGTAAGATGCTACGAGCCTTTTGAAGAAAAGTCTGGGTACTTTGAAGTAGCACTGATTCTGATACAGGCTGGTATGTGTTGACATCGTTGAGAAGATTTAAAACTTTATTGTTGTAGTCGACAGTGTTGAGTAACACCACACCACCTCCTTTGTCAGCGGTTGTAATGACGATATCATTGTTGTTGGCCAAGTCCCTGAGTGCTTGCATGTATCTTCTGGGAATGACCGGTCTTGAAGGCTCAGTAGCTGCAGCAGTGATAATTCCTTGAACAAAGCCTTTTTGAAACTCGGAGCCTCCAAAACATTGGTTCTTGGTTACCATATCCACCAGATTATGTTTCTTGTTGATGCCGGTAGTAAACTTGAGCCCTAGGCTCAAGTAGGCCAGTAGGCCTTCTACAGTGTTCCTCCATACTTATGTTCTTATGACATTCCTCAGGTCACGTGAGTCACACCTCACTCTCCGCCTATATATATAATGTCTTTCTACCTCTGTATGTTAGAAGTGATCAAGGTCCCAGGACCGAAACGTTTTCTAATAAATATGTCATAGTGTTTGCTTACGTGTCTTTCTAAACCAACTTGTCGGTATTTATTACCAAGGTTTATACCATAGGAACCTTTGAACCAAGTGAGAGAGTAATTGTGGTAGGGGACCTGAATGCTAAGGTAGGAGAAACTTTTAGAGAGGGTGTGGTAGGTAAGTTTGGGGTGCCAGGTGTAAATGATAATGGGAGCCTTTTGATTGAACTGTGTATAGAAAGGGGTTTAGTTATAGGTAATACATATTTAAAAAAAAAAGAGGATAAATAAGTATACAAGATATGATGTAGGGCCAAAATGGCAGTAGTTTGTTGGATTATGTATTGGTAGAAAAAAAGACTGTTGAATAGATTTCAGGATGTACATGTTTATAGAGGGGCCACATGATATATCAGATCACTTTTTTGTTGTAGCTACACTGAGAGTAAAAGTAGATGGGATACAAGGAGAATAGAAGATCAGGTAAGAGAGGTGAAGGTTATAAACTAAAAGAGGAGGCAGTTAGGGTAAAATATAAAACAACTACTGGAGGATAGATGGGCTAATGAGAGCATAGGCAATGGGGTTTTAAGAGGTATGGGGTAGGTTTAAAAATGTAGTGTTAGAGTGTTCAGCAGAAGTTTGTGGTTACACGAAAGTGGGTGCGGGAGGGAAGAGAAGCGATTGGTGGAATGATGATGTAAAGAGAGTAGTAAAGGAGAAAAAGTTAGCATATGAGAAGTTTTTACAAAGTAGAAGTGATGCAAGGAGGGAAGAGTATATGGAGAAAAAGAGAGAGATTAAGAGAGTGGAGAAGCAATGTAAAAAGAGAGCAAATGAGAGAGTGGGTGAGATGTTATCAACAAATTTTGTTGAAAATAAGAAAAAGTTTTAGAGTGAGATTAACAAGTTAAGGAAGCCTAGAAAACAAATGCATTTGTCAGTTAAAAATAGGAGAGGAGAGTTATTAAATGGAGAGTTAGAGGTATTGGGAAAATGGAGGGAATATTTTGAGGAATTGCTGAATGTTGATGAAGATAGGGAAGCTGGGATTTTGTGTATAGGGCAAGGAGGAATAACATCTTGTAGGAGTGAGGAAGAGCCAGTTGTGAGTGTGGGGGAAGTTCATGAAGCAGTAGTTAAAATGAAAGGGGATAAGGCAGCTGGGATTGATGGGATAAAGATAGAAATGTTAAAAGCAGGTGGGGATATAATTTTGGAGTGGTTGGTGCTATTATTTAATACATGTATGGAAGAGGGTAAGGTACCTAGGGATTGGCAGAAGGGGACAAAAGAGAGTGCAAAAATTATAGAGGAATAAGTCTGTTGAGTATACCTGGTAAAGTGTATGGTAGAGTTATTATTGAAAGAATTAAGAGTAAGATGGAGAATAGGATAGCAGATGAACAAGGAGGCTTTAGGAAAGGTAGGGGGTGTGTGGACCAGGTGTTTACAGTGAAACATATAAGTGAAAAGTATTTAGATAAAGCTAAAGAGGTTTTTGTGGCATTTATGGATTTCGAAAAGGCGTATGACAGGGTGGATAGGGGGGCAATGTTGCAGATGTATGGTATAGGAGGTAGGCTACTGAAAGCAGTGAAGAGTTTTTACGAGGATAGTGAGGCTCAAGTTAGAGTATGTAGGAAAGCGGGAGATTATTTCCCAGTAAAAGTAGGCCTTAGACAAGGATGTGTGATGTCACCGTGGTTGTTCAATATATTTATAGATGGGGTTGTAAGAAAAGTAAATGCGAGGGTCTTGGCAGGAGGTGTGGAGTTAAAAGATAAAGAATCACACATAAAGTGGGAGTTGTCACAGTTGCTCTTTGCTGATGACACTGTGCTCTTGGGAGATTCTGAAGAGAAGTTGCAGAGGTTGGTGGATGAATTTAGTAGGGTATGTAAAAGAAGAAAATTGAAAGTGAATACAGGAAAGAGTAAGGTTATGAGGATTATAAAAAGATTAGGTGATGAAAGATTGGATATCAGATTGGAGGGAGAGAGTATGGAGGAGGTGAATGTATTCAGATATTTGGGAGTGGACGTGTCAGTGGATGGGTCTATGAAAGATGAGGTGAATCATAGAATTGATGAGGGGAAAAGGGTGAGTGGTACACTTAGGAGTCTGAGGAGACAAAGAACTTTGTCCTTGGAGGCAAAGAGGGGAATGTATGAGAGTATAGTTTTACCAGCTATACCAGCATGGGTGATGAATGTTGCAGCAAGGAGAAGGCTGGAGGCAGTGGAGATGTCATGTCTGAGGGGAATGTGTGGTGTGAATATAATGCAGAGAATTCGTAGTTTGGAAGTTAGGAGGAGGTGCGGGATCGCCAAAACTGTTGTCCAGAGGGCTGAGGAAGGGTTTTGAGGTGGTTCGGACATGTAGAGAGAATGGAGCGAAACAGAATGACTTCAAGAGTGTATCAGTCTGTAGTGGAAGGAAGGCAGGGTAGGGGTCGGCCTAGGAAAGGTTGGGGGAGGGGGTAAAATAGGTTTTGTGTGCGCGGGGCTTGGACTTCCAGTGGGCATGCATGAGCGTGTTTGATAGGAGTGAATGGAGACAAATGGTTTTTAATACTTGATGTGCTGTTGGAGTGTGAGCAAAGTAACATTTATGAAGGGATTCAGGGAAACCGGCAGGCTGGACTTGAATCCTGGAGATGGGAAGTACAGTGCCTGCACTCTGAAGGAGGGGTGTTAATGTTGTAGTTTAAAAACTGTAGTGTAAAGCACCCTTCTGGCAAGACAGTGATGGAGTGAATGATGGTGAAAGTTTTTCTTTTTTGGGCCACCCTGCCTTGGTGGGAATCGGCCAGTGTGTTAATAATAAAAAAAAGTATATGATAATTTGTTTAACTGTATTTATGTGTACCTGTACCAAATAAATTTACTTGATAAGTTATACAGCTGTGTACAGCTAAGGACTTAGCATTGTAGCAGACATTTGACGATGTCCAGCAAGACACCCAAACATTTTATATCACAGGATGAGTGGGTGGCTACGATAAATGGTTAATATATGTTCAATATCTTAGTGTTATGCAATATCTTAATGTTACACAATATCATGTGTTACACAAAATCATGTGTTACTAACACCTTGCTCCTGATATTTAGTAATTTATACAGAAGGTGTTACTTACTGGCATTTAGTAATGTATAAAGGAGAAGGTGTTACAGTGCTAGCCCCTTGCTTCTTGCCTTTTAGTTGCCTCTTATGACACTCATGGCTTATGAAGGAAGGATTCTTCTCCACTTCCCCAAGGATATCTTGAAGGGATATATACACAAGTAATCTTCTCTACAAAAACATCACTCTAACTAAAGAAATTCCATAAGTACTGACTAAATAGCCAATTATTATTAGAGATATTTTTCTTACAAGTTATGATAATCGTCAATATTAAAAGACTGACCTTGAGCCACTGGTTGCGCACTTCAGAAGTGCTAAGAACCATGTTTCCCTCCAAGCTCACACCCGTCTCACTGCCAAAGTGAACTGCACGACCTGAAAATAAATAAAGACATTTATTTTCAGAGCATGAGTTGGGACACCCAACTGTGAGGGGTGAAGTTTTTGATCTGCACTTAATGGATGGAGGATTGAGCGTACACTACCCCTTACCCTAAACAAATATACTGTATACTATACTGTATCTATTACTGGTTATAGGAAAAATTACTCTCCCTCTCAGAAGTATTAACAATCACAGGAAAGTAGCAACAAGTGTATACAGGTTCTCCCCATATAACAATGGTTTGGCTTACAATATTTCAACTTTGTGATAATGTGATAGCAATACACATTCAGTAGTCATCAAACTAGTTTTTTTGTTTTGTTTTGTTTTGTTTTGCATGTAACCAAATTGTCTCAAGCCCGTTGTGTCTACTAAACACCCAAGCGTGTCTCCTGCTTCTGGTATTTAGTTAGTTACAGTAATTATTTATTTACTTATCCAGTGACAGTATTTATTTATTTATTTATTTATTTATTTACTTATTTATTTATCATATACAGTGGACCCCCGGATAACGATATTATTTCAATCCAGAAGTCTGTTTGGGTGCCGTTATAGACCGAATTTGTTCCCATAAGAGATATTGTGAATTAGATTAGTCCGTTTCAGACCCCCACAAATACACCTACAAAAGCACTTACAAAAATACACTTACATAATTGGTCGAGTTGGGAGCTGATCGTTATGCGGGGCTCCACTGTATTCTTATTCGGCTTAAAATATTTTCAATTTATGATGGGTTCATCGGAACCTAACCCCATTGTAAGTCAAGGAGCACCTGTACTGAATACAACTCTACAGTTTAAAGTGTATACAGTCGAATGCCCAAACTCACAAGCCTCTTAATTAGCATGTCCTGATTATTCAATGCTTTTTACTAATGGATTTCCCACAAATAGCTCTGAGTATTCATTTTTTTTGTGGCCCGTTTTTTTTATATTTATGCACAACCTCTAACTTGAAAACTAACCAAAGGATTAAAATATGCTCAGTGAATTTCCCACATTCAAATATCTCTCCTTTCCATTCATTCTTTCTTATGAATATAAATATGAAGCTCATTAGAGTGACATTCAAAAAGTTATATATTTTGAAACACAAAACAAGTGCAAATCTGAAAAAAAATTGTCATAGCATAATTTTTCATCATTTGCAGATTCAAAAGTGGTCAGGAACTCTAGGTACATAACTCCACATAAATTTTGGTCTCTGAGCATAAATTTATTCTTCTACAGTAATAGATCAATTTTTCACCTTGCAAAATCTCTTTGATTTCTTGATGGTGAGTAGTCAAGGCTGTAAGTCCCTGAAGGCATCCTCGCAAGTGCGTTGTGCCTAGACCTCGTTGCCATGACAGTTTAGTTAAATTAAGTTCATCGATCAACCAAGAGCGAAGTCGCACAATATCTTGACGAATGGGCTCACTGACAGCCAATCTTCGCTCGGCTTCCCCCATATTCTTGATGAGCCATGTACTGCATCAATAAATAAATATCCAGTTCAAAAGAATACTATTATTGTATTATATATGATGCTTAACCGCTTCTTCTGTATAAATTACTAAATTTAAAAAGAAAAAATTTTGTTTTTCTGTTTAGGTCACCCTGCATTGGTGGAATACAGCTGGTGTGTTGACAAAAAATATGACCCTTGTGGGTTTAGAATTTAGTTTTGACTGTAATAATAATTTCTTTTTTATTAACACATCGGTCGTTTCCCACCATGGCAGGGTTACTCAAAAAAAAGAAGAAACACTTTCATAATCATTCGCTCCATCACTGTCTTGCTAGAGGCGTGCCTACACTACTGTTAAAAACTGCAACACATCTTCACCCCTCCTTCAGAACACAGGCAGAGTACATTATGTTCATGGGGAAGCTCTAAACCAGTTGGGATCACACAGCCCTGGGTGATGATGGTGGAGTTTTATTTGTCAGGAAACAGGACAAGTGTGACCTGACATGGGTCTTAATCATACGATGACTATTAACAAGCTTTAGGTCATATAATTGAAATCATCTGCTGGGTTACTGGTCCACCCCGGTTAAAACTGAAGATGACATTATGTAATGTGTTCTGTAATAAGTGCCAGGGGATTGATAGGTAATTAGGCTTGATCCAAGAAGGGAAGGGCAGATCCAATTCCTTGGAAAAAGAGCCCTTCACTAGCACCAAGCAGCCCCTCCACTTACTTGAAAGAGTGTAATTGTAAAGCATATGGGTGGAGGGATGGATAGTTAGGTTAAACTGAGAGATGGGACAGTGAGAGCAGAATGAGAAAAGGGAAAGAGAGGGCAGAGGAAGACAGAGATGGGAGAGACACATACGTTTATTTACCTGATGCATCAATTTCTTTATATATTTGTGCATAAGGGGTGGGCACTTGTTTTTGGAGGAAATAAGTCAAGATTTTTTTTTTAATACATACAAGCCATTGCCCACAAAGGTAGGGTAACCCTAAAAAAAAAAGAAAGAAAAAAAAAAAAAGGACACTTACCATCGTTTGTTCAATACCTGTCTTGCCAGATGTGCACAGACACTGCAATTCAAATCTCTCTCTGAAATGAGTGCATGTACTCTACTTCCCACTTCCAGGACTCAAGTCCAACTAACTAGTTTCCCTGAATCCCTTCATAAATGTTACCTTGCTCATACTTCAGCAGTACACCAAGACAAAAACCACTTGTTTTCACTCATATTTTGGAAAATTTTGTAATGCGGATTGTTTTTGTATGTCATTCGCACTTTGTACAGAAAAAGGTTGGAGGAAGTGCCACATCTTTTCATCAATGCAAATCAACGAATGTAGAAATTTAGGTATTACTGATAGTGTTCAAAGTTTGGAGACCATCTTCTGTACTGTGTATATCATTATTGTGTATAATATCATTATTATACACAATACAGGTCCCCAACATGTTCATAAGTTGAAGACTTCCTGTATTATGAAAATTATACACAATTCAGGAGGTCCCCAATGTGTTTGTAAGTTGAGGATTTACTGTGTTATAATTCTGCATAATTTAACTGAAATCAAACAGAAATTTTATTCAACAACACAATCAGATAACACAAAATATCTTACTACAGATTTTCTCTCCTGGTCATGCAGAGCTCTTCTTCTGGGCTGAAGTTTCTCGTAAAATCATTGAATGGTCGATGATAAGTGACTTTCCTATCTGGTTGGTGCAGCGTCTCTGGAAGACTGTCAACATATTTGGTTGGAAGGTCAAACTCCCTAAGAATTCCATGAACTGTATCTCGAGCTGATGTTTTATTTAGTTGCAGTGCTACAGTACTCAAGATGCCTGCAAATGAAACTTTTATAAATAAAATTGTGCTACAGTATTTAAAATGGCTGGAATGAAATTTTCCTAATTAAAAATCAGCATACACACAGTACAAATTATTTTCACTTTATCCTTGCATGAAAAATCTGAAATAGACTGCATAACCATTGGCTTTCTGGGTGCAAAATTAAATGTTTCCCATATTATGTACAAACATTTTTTTTTTTTTCCAACAAACCGGCCGTATCCCACCGAGGCAGGGTGGCCCAAAAAGAAAAACAAAAGTTTCTCTTTTCAAATTTAGTAACAAACATTATATCATGTGGAAATAAATCTTTAACTCTGACTTTGATATAAGGATTCATTATAAGAAATGGCAAAGTTACATGAATTCATGCACTATGAACCCAGTTTTATAAAACAAAAGGGGGCTACAGTCCTTAAATAAGGTGTGGTAAAAGGTCTAGAAAACTGTGCAACTTGTGCAACATTTACAAATACTTAGTAAAATATTCCCAAATATTGCACAAGTGTCTCATTCTTCATCCTTAACCCTTTGAGGGTTTTCGTCGTACTAGTACGTCTTACGCGTAGGGGTTTTTGACGTACTAGTACTCATAAATTCTAGCGACCTCAAATCTAGTGGGAGAAAGCTGGTAGGCCTTCATATGAAAGAATGGGTCTATGTGGTCAGTGTGCACAGTCTAAAAAAAATCCTGCAGCACACGGTGCATAATGAGAAAAAAAAAACTTTTTCCATTTTTTTTTAATAAATCAGCGACTTTGCAGTGTATTTTCGTATAGTATTTATTGTTGTATTCTAGTTTTCTTGGTCTCATTTTATAGAATGGAAGACATATTACTGAAATTGAGATGATTTTGACTGGTTTTACAATGAAAGGTGCCTTGAAATTGAGCTCAAAGTAGCAGAAATGTTCGATTTTTACCAAACTTCAAAAGTAAACAAATCGTGCCAAGCGTGCAATACACGTCAACTGGTGAGTCTAATATTCTTTCACAAGTGCACCAATAATATTTATACCATTTTTTACACTAATGCAGTAGTCTGCATAACAGTAAATCTTATATTTTTTGTGAGAATAAAAATTCAAAGTGGAAAGCAAAAGAATATAAGAGGGGCCTTGAGACGTGACTAATGACTAGAGGAAATGTCATTTTAGTGCCAGGAATGTCTTTCTTGTTTATTCTGGACCCTATTCCGAAATTGGCATCTTTTGAAATTTGTGTGAAATTGGCAAAATTGCTAAATTCTGACCACTGTACTGGATAGTTGAATTTATAAATGGGTGGTTTCTTGCACCCATTCGATAGAAAAAATGGAGTTCTAGCGAAATATTCATGTTTTTTGTCGACTAGTACAGGGAAATTGGCCGAAAATGGGGCTCAAAGTGGGCAAAATCGCCGATCCGTAAACATCGCCGAGACCGCTAACTTTGCGAGAGCATAATTCCGTAAGTTTTCTATCAAATTTCAAACTTTTGGTGTCGTTATGATCGGGAAAAGATTCTCTATCTTTTCATAAGAGAAAATAATTTTTTTTTTTTTTAAATTTGGCCGACCCTGAGAACGAGTTTCGGAGAGGGCCTGTCGACCCTCAAAGGGTTAAATGGAAGTTCACACAGTCATGTATTCTTAAATATGGATCTGATGGCATTATGACTCAGGAAATCACAATAACAGGATTATAAACAAGTCATAGTACATATGGGGTTTGAACTCACTTGGCGAAGGTTCAAACCCCACCCGTTTTGTGATCTGATGACGTTATTCTAGTGCAGCATCAAAATTCTACCCTGGTGTCTGCCTCTTATCTTTGTCTGATGTTTCATACAAGGCCATGATAAATGATGAAGAGTGGTTCTGTGGCACATGCTAAAAGAAGCATTAGTATAAATTACAAAAGTAGCGAGAAAACTTATATAAATATCTATTGATGGTGTCCTGAGGTTCAGTAGAATGGATGTTAATCCCAGTGTGGTTCATGGAACCCAAACACATAATTTCTCTAAATTGATGTTTTTTAATTCTTATTTAACAGATGCAAGCTGTAGGTGAACACAGTACAGTGGACCCCTGCATAACGATCACCTCCGAATGCGACCAATTATGTAAGTGTATTTATGTAAGTGCGTTTGTACATGTATGTTTGGGGGTCTGAAATGGACTAATCTACTTCACAATATTCCTTATGGGAACAAATTCGGTCAGTACTGGCACCTGAACATACTTCTGGAGTGAAAAAATATCGTTAACCGGGGGTCCACTGTATTTGTAAATATTATACTAATAAAAAATTCGTTTCATATTATTACACTTTTCTTAACAAACCAGCCGTCTTCCACCAAGGCAGGGTGACCCAAAAAAGTAGAAACACTTTCGCTATCACTCACTCCATCACTGTCTCTCTTGCCAGAGGAGTGCCAATACTCCACACCTTCAGAGTGCAGGCACTGTACCTCCCATTACCACCCCTCCTTCAGAGTGCAGGCACTGTACTTCCCACCTCCAGGACTCAAGTCCAGTTAATCTAATATATACATGTAATATGATAATATTATAATCAATTAATATATTTCAAACTTAACTGGAGCCTCTTAACCCTTTGACTGTCGCAACCCCCAATCCTGAGGTGTCTCCTGGTGTCGCAAAATTTAAAAAAAAAAATTATTTTTTCTTATGAAATGATAGAGAATCTTTTCCCGATTGTAATGACACCAAAAAAACGAAATTTGATGGAAAACTGACGGAATTATGCTCTCGCGAAGTTAGCAACCTCGGCGCTGTTTACAAATCGGCGATTTCGCCCACTTTGAGCCCTATTTTCGGCTAATTCCATTGTTCCAGTCGCCCAAACTCATAGCTACTTCTTTAGAACTTCATTTTTTCTATCGATTGAGTACAAGAAACTGCCCATTTACTGATTTCAACTACCTAATAATGTGGTCAGAAATTTGCAATTTGGCCAATTTCACGAAAACTAAAAAATATGACAATTTCAAAATAAGGTCCAGAATGAACAATGCAGACATTCCAGGCTCTAAAATAACGTTTTCTTTGTTCATCAGTCACGTCTCCAGGCCCCTCTGATATTACTCTTGCTTTCTATTTTGAATTTTTATTCAAACAAAAAATATTAGACTTACTATTATGCAGACTACTGCAATGCTGTAATAACTGTATAAATAACATCAACCCATTCATGACTGCATATTAGAATGGCTAGTTGGACATTTATTGGACAATGGCATCATTTGTTTACTTTTGAACATTGGCAAAAATCAAACATTTCCCCTACTTTGAGCTCCATTTCTAGGTTCTTTTTATAGTAAAATCAATCAAAAACACCTCTATTTCTGTAATATGTTTTCCATTCTATCAAATGAGACCAAGAAAACGAGAATACAACCATAAATACTATACGAAAATAGACCACAAAGTCGGCATTTTAATTAAAAAAAACGGTCGGAGTTTTTTTTTCTCATTATGCACTGCGTGCTCCAGGATTTTTTTTATATGGTGCACACTGACCACACAGACCCATTCTCTCACATGTGGGCCTACCAGCTTTCTCCTGCTTGATTTGAAGCTGCTAGAATTTATGAGTATATATACGTCAAACACGGCACCTCGTAAAACGTATATATACGGCCGCGACAGTCAAAGGGTTAAACATAACTTAACCAAAAATAGGTTTCCATACCTTGCATTTTCTTATTTTTGACATAGAACCTGAGACTAACAGGTCTTGGTTTCTCATGATTGATGAGTGAATCAAGGTGACTATTGAGTACTTTGAGGGAAGAATCATTAACATGTTGGGCTCGTGGATGCCGACCAAATAGATCTGGGTGAACAAGAAAGTAGAAAGGTCGTAAAGCAGTTGTCACTTGAGCAGAAGACAGGTACCGCTGAGAGTTCTTAATGACATATATACATTTTGTAGGTGTTCTGCTGGCTACAACATACCTGAAATAGGAACACAAGAATATAAGAAAGGAGCACTGCAGCAGGCCTACTGGCCCATGCTAAGCAGGTCCAAGTCACACCCACTAAGAAGGAGCACTGTAACAGGCCTACTGGCCCATGCCAGGCACGTCCAAGTCACATCCACTTTAGAAGGAACACTGCAACAGGCCTACTGGCCCAAGCTAAGCAAATCACCCCTCACACTCACTCATGTACTTGTACAATTCTTTATTTGAGGTTTATGATAGTGTCTCCAACATATACCAGTATACATAAACACACACACCCTAAGCTTCAACACTAGCTTGTTTAAGTATAATTATATTGTTGGGGGAAGTACTAAATCACAGGGGGTCATACAGTGACTGAGGTGACTGAGTAATAGGAGACAGTGTAATCAGATCCAGAGGGCAGCTCCTATTCCTGGATCAAGAGCCCTTTACCTGCATCAGGGCACCTTAAAGGCTAACCTACTTGGGTGTTGGTTTTTAATGGCTCAAATGTCTGTCTTTGTTGCTAGCCAATGTACATTCAGAGCCTTTGTACAAATTTAAACTACTGTCTATAATTTATACACCTCTCTAAAATAATGTGGTCATGATACATAATAAATCAAGGCCTCAATCTCATTATGAGGAAGCACCAAACATGTAGGGGTCATACAGCACCTCAGGAGTGGAAAGGTAATCAAGTTTGATGCAAGAAAGAGAAAGGTAGGTACTATTTCTCGGATCACTAACCCTCCAGCATCAAGGCAGCAAAGCACCTCCTCGGAGGTCTAATTATTAAATTTATTTTATCGTGGGTGACCTAGGAGTTTTAGCTATTACTTTTTCTATTTTTTGTATATTCACGACTGATTTTACACTTTTGTTATAGCGAGTTAAGCTTGTCTTGGTGCTTTTAGTCAAGCACCAGTTCACATGTGGGCTTTTCCATCCATTTTTTTTAAGATTTTTAACCTGAGGGAGTGTTACTGTGTTACCCACCCAGGATAACCCAATGAAGTTAGTGCATCATCAGGGACTGTATCTTATTTCCATTGTGGGTCTTTAATTAATAATCTCTCTAGGATGCGACTCACAACCACTGACTAATACCCAGGTACCTACTTACTGCTAGGTGAACAGCAGGTGTAAGGTGACTAACAGTTGTTGGCAGTGGAAGTGAACATGGTTTCAGGATCGAAACGTTTTCCAATAAATGTGTCCTAGTGTTTGCTTACATGTTTTTTCTAAACCAAGGTGACTAACACCTAGGTACATATTTACTGCTAGGTGAACAGGGACAGCAGGTGTAAGGTGACTAATACCCAGGTACCTACTTACTGCTAGGTGAACAGGGACAGCAGGTGTAAGGTAACTAATACCCAGGTACCTTGACGTTGGTATGGGGCTCTTACACCAGGGGTTAAACCTGACCTCTTCTTCCTAGGATCAATCCTGATTGCTTCCTATTCCCCCAAGCAATGTACGGGCCCTATGGCTTAGGCGATCCCCATTAATGCAACAAAATAATTTATTATTATTATTAATATAATATAAAAGCCCTAAACCTACAGGGATTATACAACACAAATATAACAAAAAGTTTCTCTTATATGTGCGGGCCGATATTATAGATAACGATGTATATGTGTATAATTCCATTATTATTATTATTATTATTATTATTATTATTATTATTATTATTATTATTATTATTATTATCAAAACGAAGCGTTAAACCACGAGGGTCATACAGCATTGGTATAATTCCCATACCCGAAGTTTCACACTATATAATGCAAAATAATAATTGAATAATCCAACCCACCACTTCGATAGATAACTGGAGTGCAGAAGAGGCATTTATAATGCTAATTAGCTTAATTTAACACTTGTTTTTAACAATAATTAAGAATAAAGTGAGCAGCCACAATGTGAGCTCCTCGTCAGCTGGTGAAGGTAAACAAACTGATACCAAATGTGTCGAGCAACTTCAAAATATTTTTTTATTTACCTATTCTTAGACTAAGGAAAATTTCTATCATTTGGAAGGTAAGTAAAAAAATCATGAATAATAACTGTATGATTGTACATAAAAAATAATGATAAAATAAGTATCTACAGCAAATGCAACTCATCAGCTGTTGAATGTAAACAATTATCAACTAAATGTGCCGTGCACTTTTCGAAGATTTTTTTATGTAACTAAGTAAGTAAGTAAGTTTATTCAGGTATACACAAATACAGTTACATAGAATTATCATACATAGGAGCATATGTGAGAGAGCACAACTTTGTAGTACCCACAGTCAGTGGCCAGGCTTCAAACACCTTTTATTGTACAGCAATAAAGGAATGGAACAGACTACCCACAAATGTCAAGGCCAGTCATAGCTTGAACCAGTTCAAGAAGACTGCCAAAAAGTGTCTGATGAATGAAGCAACAGAAAGGGAGGGGAATGATTTTCTATTTTTTAGCTAAAATACGTGTAAATTTTACCTTATCCCTAGTAATGACCCTCGTATTGTAGATAGTCGTAATGACCCTCGGGTAGTAGATAGTCTTAATGACCCTCGTATTGTAGATAGTCTTAATGACCCTCGTGTAGTAGATAGTCGTTTTAGTATGATAATAAGATGTTATCTTCATTATAGAATAATAAGAAAATATTATAACCTTTATATTATAATAATAAGGTAAAAGGACCCCAATGGAAATAAGTCACTCTGTCTGACTTTTTTGGGTTATCCTAGGTTCTCTACACATATGCTGCTATGTATGATAATTCTATGTAACTGTATTGTGTATACCTGAATAAATTTACTTACTTACTTACTTACTAACCTAGGATAACCCAAAAAAGTCAGACACAGTGACTTATTTCCATTGGGGTATTTAACTAAAAAAAAAATTATATAAATTGTATGACAAGCAAAAAATTATTATGAATAAAAATTTTATGATTGTACAAATAAATAATAATAAAATCAGCAGCTACAGAGTATGCAGCTCATCAGAAAGTGCAGATAAACAAATTGCTCGTAACTAAATTTGCCGAGTACATGCCGAAGTTATTTTTATTTACCTACTCTCAGGTTATAATAATAATAATAATAATAATAATAATAATAACTTTATTTACTACAAGTACATGTACAGGGTATACAGTCCATAGCTGACAACAATGACATACTACTACATAGAAAGCCCCTTGTAATATTTGTAATATTTGTAATATTTTAAAATAAAGAATTAAACTAAGTCTGCCCGAAATGCCTAGCCATGCTAGGCGTTCTAGTGGTACACTCTGTAATCATTATTTAACTACATGTAAACCACACAACAACCAAATTCTGTAAATTTAACATTGTAATCTTTATAGGTGGCCTGGTGGCTAAAGCTCCCGCCTCACACGCGGAGGGCCCGGGTTCGATTCCCGGCGGGTGGAAACATTTCGACGTTTCCTTACACCTGTTGTCCTGTTCACCTAGCAGCAAATAGGTACCTGGGTGTTAGTCGACTGGTGTGGGTCGCATCCTGGGGGACAAGATTAAGGACCCCAATGGAAATAAGTTAGACAGTCCTCGATGACGCACTGACTTTCTTGGGTTATCCTGGGTGGCTAACCCTCCGGGGTTAAAAATCCGAACGAAATCTTATCTTATCTTATCTTATAGAGAATAAACTTTGAATTGAATTGAATTGAATTGAATTGTTATGCTCCGCATTTCGGGCAAATTAGGTCAGTGTCCCAGGATGCGACCCACACCAGTCGACTAACACCCAGGTACCCATTTTACTGATGGGGAACATAGACAACAGGTGGAAAGAAACACGTCCAGTGTTTCTACTCTGGCTGAGAATCGAACCCAGGCCCTCGCCGTGTGAAGCGAGAGCGTTAACCACCAGGCCAAAAACTGTATGATTGTATAAATAAATAATAATAAAATTAGCAGCCACAGTGTAAGCAACTCATCAGCTGGCGAGAATAAAAGTGTATAATTTCTACCGATTTTTATTTACTTAATTAAAGTCTCAATAATCTATAAGTGAAGTCAGAAAATTATAAACTAGAATTTTGTAACTATACATTAAAACTGAAAGATTTTGACCGAGATAAAAACATTATGGAAAATTTTATATGGGTGATTACTTGTACATACCTCATCATTACATGCATACGAGTAATCTCCTTGGGAGACAACAACTATATTGTTTACCGTAGTCACCCGTGTAAACATGTGAGAAAACTTAACCACCTCTGGTCACTGCAGGTGGCCCCTCGACCCTCACAATCTTATCCATATCTGTCCGAGACCAGTATAAATTGGGTAGCACCCTCATGTACGGCGCTACTAATTAATTGTGGACTGTATAAATTATATTAGTTTAACTGAATGAAGGGTGGGGGGGTAGGTTACACATGGATATATCCATCAAGGAAAAACACTTGTACATAATCCCACCACTTACCAGATATTCTCTGGTGGTCACTTGATGTGGCTGGATCACCCATGACCTATCCAATTAAAACATACCTAACTGGCCAGTATCAGTCTGCTATAACTAGAAAGGTTACTTAACTGTGGGTGATTGATGCTCCTTATTTCCTCCATTCACCATCTCATTTCGATGTCCTGCTACACCGACACGGTTCTTATTCCAGCAGGACGAGGTATCCGTTGGTTTGTCCCGGTTTAGAAGTCGTGATTCCATAAAACTTCGCTATCCTCGGGACGAGAACCACGCGTTCACTTGGAGCAAGGCGATTTATTTCACTTCCCGCATTCTCTTAACTTAATGTTATTATCACTGATTACATTACCATTCACAAGACGATTTAACGTCTCATAATTATTATACACATTAGAGGTCACTCCATTAAGATCTGAGACCGATGAGTCAGGATTAACTCACGGGTAATTTCCCCTGGACACATTCCATGGCGGCGCACCCGTCACCCCCGGTCCTACTATTATCCACTCATTTTACTACTTTATTATGGTGGTCACGTAAATCACGTTCCCTCACTCTTCACCAGGAACAGTTACGACACTTCCTATTAGGAAGTGAGGCCTATATTAATCCTTAGGCCGCCGTGAACGCCAATTTCCTGATCCCATGTTTCACAGCTTCCTCACTACATTCAAAACACTGCCGCCTCCTTGTGCCCCAGCTCGACCTATACCCCCGCACATCTGTTTAATGGGTTTGTTTGGTAGGCTGTAAGTGGGTGGTTAATGATAAACTTCTTCGGAGGCTTCTTACTTTATTGTTAAGTCGTGGTGGGTACACAGGCTTGTGTGTTTGCCCATGGCCCGGGAGGGCCATCCCACGAGAGAGAGCTAGGGAGTAGGCTTTGTGTCTTCCTGCTAGGCCGCTGTGTGAGTGAGAGTGTGGCAAGGGCAGACAGGCTGGCCTGCCTACCAAGAGGCCTGGCTACAGAGGGCAGCATCTGAGTGGCGCAAAATATGAACTAAGCTGGCAGACAGCATGGGCTGTCTGTGCAGACAGTACAGGCTGTCTACATACGCTCAGCCACCTACCGCGCTTCGTCCCGACGCGACAATACTGGTGGTAAAAGAAACTCGGTCTCTCTCTCGTAGGAACAGGGTACAAAACACAAAATAAAACATATATATACATATGAACATGGAACAAAAAACTTCCTACAGGGAGGGAAGAAAAAAACATGTGGGGTGTGCTAAACATCGTGGTCAAAGGCAGTGAGCATCGATGGGCATCACTGCACGCCTTCCTGCATCTGGACAGATACTGCAACACAGGAGACATAGCTGCGGCTGAGCTGTGATGTAACAGGGTACGGTCTCCTCTGGAACGGTGAAGCAGTCATCGTAGGAGTCGCTGCAGGTTTCACTCAACCTGGGGCATGACATGCTGGTGCCCTCGAGTGAGGCGTCGACAAAACTCGGCAACTGGGCAGGACTTCTGGCAAGCGACTCAGGAGGACACTTCTCCACTGGTACTGTTGCTGGGCTGTCACTGCTGGAGCGAGTCGTGGCAGAGACGACTGGGCGAAACATCTGGGAGTCGTAACATCATACACCAGACTGCAGTGAGAGATAGCAGTCAAAGTGACATCTTCTTTGTGCAGGTTGCTCACTGAAGCTTGTGACATGAGGCTGACACAGCGCCTGCCGACAGTGGCTAACTGCGGCTTGGTGAGTATCATTCTCTCGGCAGTTGGAGTTATAGCAGAGGTTAGTCTAAGCGTCCCCAGACTTGTTTCTCTACATATAACTGCACTCTGACAGTGTGGAGGTGAAGTGAAACAAATCTCGATGGGAATCGTAGCAGGTACGATTCTGCAGAACATCACGAGCGACGAGCATAAAAGCTTTCTGTACAAGAGGGCTCGGTCACTCGGGGCTGTCTTGACATCAGCTGTCATACACACTGGTCACACGGTTGACTTAGCACAGTGGTGTTACTCAGGTCTGGTTCAGACCTCACTGGACACACGGAAACTTTACACACCCGCGGTACATGTGGTACAACATGGCTTAAACTAGCAAATGATGCTTTTCTGTGCATAAAACTGACACTAAGACATATACTAAAATGTGAGAGCACTGACTGAGAGGAATTAATGCACGACATATATCTTCTCTTAGTCTTCTCGACAATATTTTAATAATTACTGAACACTCGATGGTGATATCATGTGATGTCAGGCGTGATGACGTCAGCAGCACTGTGACGTCAGCAGACATCTCGAGGTGACGTGAGGCAGACATCGTGACATCATGAAGTCGGGCAGCAGCATCGTTGGTGACATCAATGTGATGTGGGCAGCAGACCACAGCATGAGGCCTGGGACATCTGGCTCGGTAACTCACGTGGCTGGTAGATCCACGTCACATCGCCCACACCCACGTGGCTTCGTGATCCACGTGGTGTCGTGATCTATGTGGCATGCTGATCCACGTAGCTTCGAGTGGCCTTGGGCACTCGGATACACAGCTCTGGCAATGAATCACACGGAAAACAGAAGAAAACACAGCAGAGGGAGTGGGCAGTGGTGAGTGTATGGTAGACGGGTGAGCATGAGTAGGGCGAGCATGGTCAAGGTGAGGAACAGCCACTTCCTCTCCTCCTCCCCCACCCACAAACACGTGGAGAAGCTCACACTGGACTCAGAAATCACCACAAAACTCACCTCTGGCTTGCTGAAACAGCTGTGCTGAGCTGAACAACAACAGCAGCAACATACAAGTGACGCTGAACACGTGACTTGTGAAACAGCGTGGGACGCTGTAGCGTGGGGTCACTTACAATTCTCGGAGAATTTCGGCAAATTCGGCTGGATCCTGCTTGTACCTGTGTCTGGATGCTGAAACGTGCAGACATGACATCAGGATAACTCGTTGAGAGATGGATGCTTCTTGTGTAGGGTGATGAAGTGAAGATGACTTCATACCTCTCCTTTCTCTCTCCGGGCAAACAACTGCTGCGACCACCGCTGCTACCAATGTTTAATGGGTTTATTGGTGATGCTGCAAGCGGGTGGTTAATGATAAATGTCTTCTTCGGAGGCTTCTTACTTTATTGTTAAGTCGTGGTGGGTACACAGGCTTGTGTGTTGTGCCCATGGCCCGGGAGGGCCATCCCACGAGAGAGAGCTAGTAGGCCTTGTGTCTTGCTGCTGGTGCCAACCTAGTCCACGGCCGTATCATTGCTACCTACGCTACCTTCATTGGCACTAAACCGCTGTTCAACAGAAAGAACAGTAATAACAGTGGTGGCAGCGGTGGGATCCGAACCCACGCCTCCAAAGAGACTGGTGATACCGGAGTCCATGATACCAGCTACTCTTAGGTTTATCCACGATGTCCCAGGTGTAGTGCACCCCGGGAAGGACCGCAATATCAAACAGGCACGAATGAAATATTTCTGGCCTAAGATGGCAGCGGACATTGCCAAGCATGTACACCAGTGTGTTGTTTGCCTACAGCACAAGGGTACTGTTACAGGTCCTAACCCCATTCTAAAGTATCCCATTACAAAGGAGCCCTAGGAGAGAACTTCTGTCGACCTGTTGACGAACTTCTCGACCTCGGAGAAGGGAAATAAGCACCTGCTTGTAATGGTAGATAACTTGAAGCAGTACAGTGAATTAGTACCCATTCCTGATAAAACCGCCGAAACGGTCGCTAGTGCTTTCCGTGAGCATGTTGTCCTTGTCATACCTGCCCACGGGGTCCTTCTTCAGAAAAAGGGGTCTGATTTCATAAATCCATAATGCGGGATCTTTGCTCCAGATTTAACATTCACCAACGCCATAGCTCCCCGCCACCCTGCGAGAAATGGTTTTGCGAACAAAAATCGCAAAGCCTGGAGGTGCTCAGGGTAACCTTTAACCAATTGTACTACAGGGGAGGGGCTATCCCAGATGTTCAGTGTACATTAAATTCCCTCCCTCAACACCAATGGGTGAGAACCTCATTTTGCTTTGTATGGCTATGACAAGCGTTACCATACAAATTCGTTTGCTCCCCCTCGCCTACTTCCTACTGATAACCCCGTGTATAAAGATGCGACAATGCAGTTGTCTTCCCCAGGGGGTACGAGAGAACCTTATAAAGCTACGATGGGTTTTCACCGAGCGCAATGCCACGCCAAGGAAAGCAAAGTGAACCAGGTTGAAAATTTATTTGCTAAACCCAGCGCAGACCCAGGTATGCACAAACTTGCCCCAAAAATTCGGGGGTCCTTACCGGTCCTCGGACAGCTCCGTGGCAATAAGTCGAGGTAGGGAATTGCACGAACTATCAAGGAAGCCCACCTTGTCACATGAATAGGGGGACCATGTGCGGGCCCAAAAAGCAGAGCGGAGTCGTGTGCGTTGCAACCCACAATCAGACCAATGCTGGGGGACAACCCTCTTTCCCTTCTCCCACTACTTCTGTTACTGAAGACGCCCAGTAAGGCCCATACTTTGGCCTCGCCCCAGGACAACGTACATTTCGGGACTTGCTACCTACTGACTGTCTGACCCCACGCAGTTATGCTAATGTTGCTTGCAGAAAGGGGTAAAAGTGCACACATTGTTAGCTAGTTGATAAGGAGTCAGGTGGACAACACAGAAATTAAGTAAATACTTTAGAAGGGTCCCCCGAGTGTAATAACCATGGATATAAAATTGTTGAGGTATGTCACCCATTTTTTATAAAAAAAAAAACCCTTTATTAGGGCGGGGCGTGCCCCCTCTGATCACATGTCAAAACCTTGGGAAATGCTACTGTCAGTCATTGTTTGCAGATGGGGAGGGTGCAACAACGTTCGTAGCGAGGGGCCCAACTGATTTTCACCCTGGGGAAAACCTGTATTAGAAGATTTTAGTTCCTGCTGACTTCTCCGGACTCTCCCTTTTAATAAAAGCGGGGGAAAACCCATTTTCCCTCTTCCCCTGGATGGGAGTTTTTTTTTGCCTGTTGCATTTTTATGTCCATTTTTGATTTGCAAGTGAGCGAAAGCCAGTCCCTCTCTGGGGTAGCCAGTGTAAGAAATTCCTTTATACCTATGGGCCCACCAGTATTGTCGCGTCGGGACGACGCGAGGTACTTGGCCGAGCAAATGTAGACAGCCTGTACTGTCAGAACACACAGCCTAGCCGTCTGTTCTGACTGGTTCATATTTTGCGGCATTTAGGTGCTGCCCTCTGTAGGCTCACCCAGGTCAGTGGGAGGCTGAGCCCATTCGCTCTCACTCCTAGGCCGACCCACTTGATAGACACAAGTGCTCCCCCTCCACAGACTGGCTTGCGGTCACTCCCTCACACTGCCCGTTGTGTACTCACTCCTATCCAATTAAAACCAACCTAGTCCACGGCCGTATCATTGCTACCTATGCTACCTTCATTGGCACTAAACCGCTGTTCAACAGAAAGAACAGTAATAACACATCTGCGCAGGCGCAGCGGGAACCCAGTTGGTTCCATTCCAAAATACAAATACATTTTGACCCAAATCAACACATTAAACACTTATTAGGCACTATAGCTTCGGAAATTAAATAATTTCCACAAACATCATACGTATATACCTGGAGTATACATGGAGAGGGTTTCGGGGGTCAACGCCCCCACGGCCAGGTCTGTGACCTACCTTGATTACCTGGAGGCCTCATGGTCGATCAGGGACTGATCAACCAGACTTACTGTTGGCCGCACATAAACCGACATACGAATCACAGACCGGCTGGTCAGGTACTGAATTTAGTTGCCTGTCCAGTGCTTGAAGACAGTCAGGGGTCTATTGGTAATCCCCCTTATGTATGCTGGGAGGCAGTTGAACAGCCATGGGTCCCTGACACTTATTGTGTTGTCTCTTATACATGTATTATCATAAATAAAATAACCACAAGGGAAGTTGAATGATAGATCTAGGCCTTTCGTGTTGCAATCAATACATCATCAGGAGCTTGTAATGTTGCAGAAATGGAGTGAGAAGTCTAGGTAGATTCGTTAGGGAAGCGACTTCCTCCTCATTTCTGCAACGTTGCAAGCTCCTGATGACGTGTTGATTGCAACATGAAAGGCCAAGAGATATCATCTAACTCCCCATGTGGTTATTTTGCATCTTCTATCGCTCGTTCGCGATTATTGCATGTCATCATATATGTATAAAATGTGTTTTTAATAATGTGATGATCTTATATATGAGATCACTTGCTAGATAAGATTGAAACCTACTTCTAGTTTAGAGTAAAACTACGGACAATGACAGTCTAGTATTATCTGTCGCTTGAGAGTGTTGAACTCTAGCTCCTGGGACTCTTGAAAATGTTGATCTACAATAATACTAATAATAATAACACTAGCGTTATAGGAAGTGAACCTGGGAAGAGAGGCGGGTTCGATATCTGGAGATCATGACCCCAGCCTCCTCCAGCAGCCAATAAGAACTAACTTAATACATCTAGGTGAGATATGATTGGCTGGGAGGGTGGATGCTGTCCCGCCCACCTGGCTGACTCCTCCCTCCATCAGGTGGAGCAGACAGCTGACAAGCCTCAGTTATCCTCTGGCAGTGTGAGGGGTAGGATGTGCATGTGATGTTCTGTCATAACCCATGACTCGTACACTTACAAGTTATATTTTAGTAATGGTCGGTGACATTACTGTTACTTTACATTGAAGTTGTCGCCGGAAATGTGAGTGACAGGAGCGGAGAGCAAATTTGCCAAGGAAATTCTCGGGTGAGTTGACTTAAAAATTATTACATTCTATCGACAGAAATAATTCAAAATTCTAATATTTTTGCTGTGGATTTGTTTTAGTTGTTAATGGATTTCAGTGTAAATCAAGAATGATTTTTTATTATGTAAAAAATACGTTTATTAAGTTATGTTAATGAAATTTAAAGTAGGTTTAAAAATGTTATATTTTTCTATCCATAACATTTACATTAATCCATTAATCCCTTCAATTAATCCTTTCCATTAATCTCTTCCATTAATCCCTTCAGTTAATCCCTTCTGTTAATCCCTTCCATTAATCCCTTCTATTAATCTCTTCCATTAATCCCTTCCATTAACCTCTTCCATTAATCCCTTCTGTTAATCCCTTCCATTAATCCCTTCTATTAATCTCTTCCATTAATCCCTTCCATTAACCTCTTCCATTAATCCCCTCTGTTAATCTTTTCCATTAATCCCTTAAATTAATCTCTTCAATTAATCCCTTCTGCTAATCCCTTCCATTAATTCCTTCCATTGATCCCTTCCATTAATCCCTTCTGTCAATCCCTTCCATTAATCCCTTCAGTTGATCCCTTCCATTAATTCCTTATGCTAATCCCTTATGTTAATCCCTTCCATTAATCCCTTCCATTAATCCCCTCTGGTAATCGCTTCCATTGATACCTTCCATTAACCCCTTCCACTAATTACTTCCATTAACCTCTTCCATTAATCCCTTCTGTTAATCCCTCCTTTAATCCTTCTATAAATCCCTTCCATTAATTACTTTCATTAATCTCTTCTGTTAATCCCTTCCATTGATCCCTTCCATTAACTACTATCATTAAATCCTTTTCATTAAACCTCCTCCATTAAACCCCTTCCATTAAACCCCTCCATGAAACCCCTTCCATTAAAGCCCTCAATTAAACCCTCCATTAAACCCCTTCCATTAAACTCCTTTCATTAAACCCCTTCCATTAACCCCCTCCATTAAACCCCTCCCATTAAACCCCCTTCATTAAACCCATTCCATTAAACCTCCAATAAACCCCTTCCATTAAACCTCTATTAAATCCCTTCCATTAAATCCTTACCATTAAACCTCCATTAAACCCCTTCCATTAAACCCTTACATTAAACCTCTTCCATTAAACCTCCTCTCTCAGTATATATACACTAGAGGTGTATATCTCAGTATACACTTGGTGTGTTTATCTCAGTATATATATAGATGTGTATATCTCAGTATATATACATTATAGATGTGTGTATCTCAGTATATATACACTAGAGGTGTGTATATCAGTATATATACACTAGAGGTGTGTATCTCAGTATATATACACTAGAGGTGTGTATATCAGTATATATACACTAGAGGTGTGTATATCGCAGTATATATAGATGTGTATATATCAGTATATATAC